TTGTTTGGTTAGGGTTTAGAGTTCAGGGTTTAGGGTTTAGGGATATGGTATGTAGTAATGCAGGGTCATTATTACCCAAGCCCCAATTTGGAATACAGATGTGTAGTTTTTCAGTCGTACCAAAATGTGGAACCAGATCATAGGTGGAGTCAGAGTTCCTGGACGTGTTCCGGATGTGGGCCTTGAGGGCATCAGGTTGAATTTCAATGGATTCCCAAAAGTCGTGCATAAGATGCGGTACTTTGAAAGGGCAGCGTGGCTTCAGAGTTTGTTTCCGGGGCTTTATTCTGAAGACCCTAAACCTAGATCCCGCGCTCCATACCTTATGTTGGAGGAAGGGTTGGCGATGCCCGCCTAGGTTCGATAGTCGCACTGTCCCTAGCGACTAGGGGTCCAAGCGCCCAATTGGTTCAAAGCCAGGCTCCAAGGAATTCGATGTGAATCCTGAATACGGACCTAGGGGGGCTCTTGCACTCCGTAGATATTTTTCGAGCGCTAAGAGTACCTCTCTTTTCAGACACCCTCACAAAGATCCTTTTAGACGGCTGTGGTATCTTGGGGCCCAGTTTCCATGATGTTGAGGGCCCCACTTTAGCTTGTAGCTAAGAAGTCCCAGGAAAGTCCTCTGCCTGTAGGCGCCGGCAGGTCTTAGGGAATCCCATGAAGCCATGTAAACGTAAGAACCACACATGATACGTACATTCCGTTATTACCTAATTAATGGCCGGGTTTGTCGTTCTTCCGATGCGTGGTTCATTGTTTCTCAACTTGTGCTGCCAAACCTCCACCGCATGTAGTGTGCCAGAGTGTTCATTCCTGAGAGGCGTGCTAAACCTCAAGAGTTCGCGTATTCGAGTATGGTAAGGTCAAGCAAGGTTGTAGTGCCAACGGTAGTGCTGCCCCACTTGTCTCAACAATCCATTCTCCAACTCCCTCACTTGAAGTGGGTGCCAATTGGGTTCTACGCCTGTGTCGCAGGAGAGATTGTCAACAGCCATCAATGAGACTGACAGCCGGGAGCTCCAGCTATACTGCTGAACGCCGAATTACCATGAACAATGTTCAAGAAAGTCCTGGTATGGTCCGTACCCAAAGCATAAGTCATTCAGGCACAGAACCCCAATATTGGGGTGCTTGGACCCGTAGGGGACGGTTTATGACCCCGAACCCTGGTTTGGTGTGTTAAGAAACCTCTAGAACCAACACATCACAGGGGAGTTTTGGTGGATTCTCCTTAGCATGAGGATCTCGTCATTCCATTCGAATGCTTCTTCTTCCGGACCTTGGAGTGCTGAACCCTGAGCACGAAGCCCCTGAAATTATTCCAACCTGAGAATCTGCGAGGGGCGCGGGGATGTATACAGACTTTCACTTGCCTGAATTATTGCGATGACGCCGACGAAGACTGTTCGAAGACTGCAAGACAACAGGTCAACTTGTGTTTGCCCTGAGTGACGGCCTCTGCAGCTTGTGGCTGAAGTTGTGAATGAGCATCTTCAACAGGATGCTCTTCTTGACTAAAATCTGGTGACGAGTCATCATGAGACAGTTAAAATCTCGGAAATGACAGGGAAGAGGGCACGTAGAAGAGTACTGAGTAACTTACTGATTGCCATGATAGTAATGATGCGGGTGTTCTTCAAGACCTCTTCTGAATTCTTGGACAGTATTGCTATCCTGGGAATCCCCAAATGCAACCCTGCGTTGAGCAGCCTTGCCCCGTCAGAAAAAAGCAATAGTAATAGTAATTGTAATTGTAATAGATAATTAGTAACAGTAACAGTAATAGTAATAGAAATAGTAGTCGTAAGCGTAATAGAAATAGCAGTTGTAATTGTATTAGCACGAATACTAGCAATAGTAGAAATAGTAATGGTCATAGTACTAGTAATAGAACCAGTAGTAGAAACAGTAAGAGTAATTTCGACTGTAGTAATAGCACTAAAAGTAATAGTAGCAGTAATAGTAACAGTATTAGTATAGTAAAGAACACAAGCAATAGTACTAGGTAGTCCTAAGCAATCATAGGGTCAATGGTCGCAGTATTAACGAAAAGGTGCTCATGGCTCCAAAAGGCCGCTGCGGGAGCACCATATACATCATGCGATACCTTAGGTGGATCCCCCACCCAGTAATAGTGACTACAAGGGATAATAGGGATTACAGCAGGGTCCTCTTATATTCTTATTATACCCACTATTACAGGGTGGGGGGTCCTCCTAAGCGATACCCTTTTCTTGAAAAGAGCTGCTGCAGGATCAGCCTCAGAACCCCACACCTAAAGCGCTTAACTCTAAACACCCGACCTCTTGACCCTCAACAGAGCCTACACCAACTCTAAAACCTATGCATGCCTAAAGCCCTATACACCATAGGCTACGAGTTGGATGCCACTGGAGCTGGCACCGGCGCCGCCTCTTGGGCCGCAGGGTCGGTTCTGCAAGGATTGGGGGTTTGAGGGGTAATGATGTGCAACGAGGCCATGTCCGATTTTGCAAGCGTTTGGTAAAGGTTTCCTTGTACTGATTGCGCAGACATCAGTTCGCGATAAGTTCTTTGTCCATGGAGGCTAGGAGAGTGGCTGAGTGACGGACCTGTGTGTAAGTAGGACGATTTCATCTTGAGCCCTTGGACTTACAATTGCTTGATGCTGGGACGGACTCTGAGGGGACCCTTGTGGTTCAGGGCCAAAGCCCAACTTGCTGGGGGCATCAGTTCTTTTCTAGCTTTATATGGGCTGAGGCCCAGATGTGATCTTCTTGGATATGTACAACTATAGGAATCCAAATAGCTCCATGTAGGTAACATTTACAGACTTTAGGCCCCAATGTAGGTTTTATTCGCATACTTGGATCCCGAAGGTACAGTAGAGATGCTTGCTGTTAGCACCATGTCGTGGCTCTATGAGGAGGTAGGTGGGTTTAGGGTTTAGGGTTTGGGGTTTAGGGTTTAGGGGCTATCCTTGGGGCTCTTGGATCAACATCCAACTCCTGCTAGGGAAATTCTGGAAATCTTGATTTTCGACAAGAATCAGAAGCCCCTGAGCCGCAAGCCGTTGAAGCCCCTAAACCCTAAACCCTTAAGGGTTTAAGGTTTGATTCAACAGCCTTGAAGACCTAAGCCGCCCTGCATCTTGAGGCCATAGATCCAATTGGGGGGGTTGGCCAGACTGTACTGCTCATGTGAGGTAGGTTTCCAAAGGTAGTTTGGTGAGTGTGGAGGGACCAAGGTTAAGAGATTGAGTGTCTGTACAAAGTGCTGTAGGTACAAGAATGTTAGGGTTCAGGGTTAGGGTTTAGGGTCAGGCTTTAGACGGGTTGTATGCTTGAGTCTTTGGGGGTGGCTGCAGCACCTGTCCGGGAAGCCCAAGAATGTGGCACCCAACCCCTGAATACCCATGCTTGAGTGCGGCGACTCTCCGCCCTCCCATTATTCAAACCGATTGGATTAGGGTTTTCACGAAATGCGGGGATTCAAGGATGTGCTTTGGTTCTATAGCGCGGGCTGATGACGCGTACATCTTTGCATCTATGCTCCTTCCTGCCATGCACCATGGGGAAAGCCCAAACCTCAAACCCATCTCCCAATTCAGAAGTCATACTCGAGTGTCGTACATCCCAGGATGCTGAGCGCTGCTCCACTCCGCTCGTCGTGCCTCGGCCGTATTACTGAAGGGCTTGGAGTTTGTGGCTTAGGTGGCTATTGGTTAGTAGTGGCTGTCAGCATAGTTGTTTCAAGCAACTCGCTCCGTGTGCCTCACGCAAACCTTCACTCCAAAGGTTAGTCCAAGCATCAGCCCTTGACCCTCAAAGAATCCTTTCCCGAAGCAAGGGCCCTTCTTGGGATTTTGAGGGCCATGCAATTATGCCGAGGCTTGCACAAAGCTGCTCTCAGCCTCTGTTGAGTTGTGAGTAAGTGAGGTGCCATCACCACCCACATCCTGAAGTCCTAAAGGCAGATCCCCCGAACTGGGCTGCTTCGTTTATAGACACCCTCATGACAGATCGGCCAGAGGCTTTTGGCAGGTTCTGAAGCCATGTTGCCGTCGAGTGCTGCAGCGCGTGGTACCATTTTTCAGCACGATGGCTGCTCTTCTGGGTTGCTGTTAAGCAGTTTAACTTATGATATAACCCTAAACCCTAAACCCTAAATGGCCTATTAAGTATTTACTATATACCCATAATTTACAGCAAGTTCCTTAGCAGCAACCTAGTTTTTGCGTTTGGGAAGGAGGAGTTGCTGTCGGCGGGGCTGCGAAGATCCGAAGGATTTCAAGCAGCCACTGAGTCTGGGTTGACCACCACTATGGGCTATTAGACCCTAAGATTCCCTATTAGGACTCGATTAAGGGTAGATCAAGGTACCCTTAAGGTTTGCCTGTGGAGCAAGCCTCACTGACTCCAAGCAATCCCTAGAAACCTTCAACCTGAAACCCTACCCCCTTAAATCCGAAATCCTACACCCAAAACCCTAAACCCTAAAACGCGTCTAAAGCTTTCCCAGAAGCTCGCGTGGAGGAGGAACTAAGGCTTGGTTGCTCTGTGGGATCCTTCTGGCTTTTACTTTTTTCCGGTACACCTCCCTCCCTCTAGTCCCTTTCCCCTTATAATATGTTGCCCCCCACCTCCCCAATAATAGGTATTCCCCCGCATTGTATGATGGTATTATATGGAAGTATTTACCATAAGGTTTGTGGGCGGCTACGGTTGGGGAGGGGATTAGTATGAAGCACTCCCGAAAGTAGCCTGTGTAGACAGGAAGCAGATACAATGCTGGGGGACGGGAGGTGCTTGACGGGGTAGCCAGTTCGTAGCTTGCGTTCCCAAAAGTCACCCAAAAAACCCTCAAGCAAGCTTCAGCCAGTAGACCTATGGAAGCCTGCGCAGTTCGACCAATCATTCCCTTATGAAAGACCTACCCTATTTCAGTCTAATACGCCGCATCCCCCGCATCCTTTTCTGAACATTTGCTCAAACCTCAGGCCTAATCCTAAAACCGAGGTGCCTCTGCCTCCGGGCCCTTGGGAGCCAAATCCAAGGCTGCGTGCACGTAAGTATCGAAGATGGACTAGGATTTCGGGTTTACAGCTTTGGGGTTCTCAAAAACATTGGTTGCTTTGTCGGATCCATGTGAGCTGCAGTCTAAACTCCTTAAAGGGGGTTATATGGGGAATTATATGGGGTCTATTATAGGTGTCATGAAGGGGGATACTAGGAGTTTAGACTGTAGCTCATGTGATATTGAGAGTAGACAAGGACCGTCCCAATTTTGACAAACGATGCCTATGGCTTCATGCGGGTTACCAGGTTGAGGTTCCAGCATTTGCAAAAAGAGCCGCTTTGCAAGTAGGTTTTAGGATGCTCGTAGGTGTTCTGAGCACACCTACTCCCGAAAAAAACCTTATACTAACAACTACCACAGACCCTGCTTGCAACCTCTTGCAGGGAAGGGGCATTCTACTTCTCAGGATTTTGAGAGCCCCAAGCCGGTCTCATAAGACCTCCAGGCCTCCAGGAGCTCCTGGGACACATGAGCCATTGTCTAAACTCCTAGTATCCCCCTTAATAACCCCTATAGTAGTCCCCTATATGATCCCCTATATAGCCCCCGTTTAAGGAGTTTAGACTATAGCTCGCATGATTGCAGCTCTAGTGCAGCGTAGAAAAAATGCTGCAACCTACGCACCACTCCTCCCCTTTCGCACCGCTTTTTACTTACTGGAGGTTTGTAAGGAATAAGTGAATAGAACCTATATATAATATTCCCTTATTCCTTGCTAACCCCTAGTAGATTAAAGCAAACAACCGTCGTCTCTCAGCTCATTCCCCGAAAATCCAGCTGCGCAGGAAGCCGATTCCCCCTCCTTCGCTCGACATGGCAAAGGCTCGTCCTGTCAGCTTGACTTATTGGGGCTCAGTAAGGAAGAAGTGAATATAATGGGGTTAGAAAGGGATAATAGAAAAGTAGCTGGAAGCGACTATAGTAGAATAGGGTATATATTGGGCTTAGTAGGGAATAAGGGAATATCTTATACAGGGGTTATTTTTATAGGGGCTATATTCCCTGATCCCCCACTAACAGCTAGTAAGTTTAGGATTCACGGCTTTTCGGATCTGAGAGTCTCGGGTGGCCGGGGCTTGGGAAGGGAGTTTAGGCTGCAGGATACATTAGTCTAGGACTTTTTCAGGGGAGGGTGGGGGTTTCAAATCCATGGGATCCGGGTGTCACGCAGACATGTCTCAGTGAAGAGCCGACGATTACACTCAGCCATGACCATGTTTCATGGCTGATGGTCGGTGGCTGTCGCATGTGTTTGTAGCAAGGACCGTTTCAAATCTCGAGCCTCGAGCCCAATGTGTAGATCTTAAACCCAACTCAGCAAGTAAACCCTACTACACCCACAGTGCCAACCTAAACATGCAATGTTCAACCATAAACGAAAAGCCGCAAACCCTGGACCACCCCCAAGCTCTGAGGATCAAAGCGTACCTGCTTTTGAGCTGTTCCGTAGGCTTGTGTTGCGAAACTGCGTGCGTGACTGTGGGTAAAACATCTGGTTTACCAAACCCCAAACCCTGAGCCGTGAGGTCAACAATTGAAAGCCCAGCGTTCCCAGTCTCATCTCACCTCGCCGGGGCTCGTTGGAAGTTTGCCTATTGCCTGAGAGGCTACCGCTTAATAGGATAAAATCCATAGCTGCTTTGGTGCCCAACATCCGGCATGTAAACTTTAACCCGAACCTGAATAATTCCCCGAGAACCATCTGAACCATATTCCCAACTCCCTTACTCGTGATCGAGTCTTATGGTCGAGGGGTCACCTCAACCTCGGTCCCGAAGTTCAAAAGGCGAATCAATTCCAAGACCCAACCTGAACACGCCAAGTATGTCGAATAATGGCCTTGTTTCTTTTTTTGAGGGCTTTGGGCCCTTATTTTGCTTAGAGTTGTTTACCTACTTAACTTAAGAAATGAGGCCCAGGTAATCCTACGTCACCTTAAGAGCTAATCCCTAGGCTTGCCTTGCTGAAGCAGCATGTCGGAACGCATGCTGCGAGAGAAGTTAAGACTACCAAGTCCTAATCCCCTTGTCTCTAGATCTTATCCTGTACCCTTTAAACGCTAACCCGAAAAAAACTCTGAACCCCTAACTCACAAAGCACCCAAATCGCTACCCATCTTTTATAGCGTAAACGCCAAATTGTCATGAACACTTAAGTCCAAATCCGTGATTTGTCGCCAGGGTGAAAGCCGGGACACCGCAGACAGCATCACTCCCAGTGGTGCATCAAGATTGCGGATCAAGGCACCAATTTTGGGTCAGGGTTTTAGGGTTGGGCAAGGGGTTGAGGGTTCAGGGCCCAAAAAGTATATCTACATAAAAGAAATATATGTATATGTATATATATATGTATATATATACATATATATATATCTGTGTATATGTTAAACAATTATTGGCGCACAGTTCGTTGTTTCTGTCTATAGCCCACATGAAGCCAGGTTTTTTGATTAAAAAGGTATGGCTCGGTTGTGGCTTGGCAAGATTTTATACTAGAGAGCCACACAACCTAGACCCTAACCCCGTGAAACCCTGAACCCTAGCCCTTAGCCCTAGGACCCTAGGCCCCAAACCCTCAACCCTGTTGGCCCCCTGACCTGCGTGAACCAAACCTTTTTTTCATAGTAAGCCAGCGCTTAGCCAAACCTGTAGACAAAAACTCCGCCGCTGACCCTTCGGGGCTGCAAAGCCTTCATTATTTGGAACAAGCTCCAGGATATAGGGATTTTACAAGGTGTAGGGTTTGGTAATTTACCCTGCATGGGCCCTAAACCTAGGGCTTCCAATCTAATGACTAGGCGTACAGGTTTTACAGGGATTTTGGCCTTGGGGTAGAATCCTGGTACGAATACGCACGGAATATTTATACGCGGTTGACACAATTTGACATGCACTTGCGATATGATACGAACAAGTCTATGATGAGCGCCAGAGTATCAGCCACAGATCAAATGCACGACCATGGTAGTCAAGTAGCCAACATCTACCTCATGAAGCTACTGGGGAGCAAGAAGACTCTCGATAATTGCGGGAAGCCAGCCACAAGGATCTTTTCTGCACGGTTCCAACGGTCAAAAGGGAAGATAACATGATTCCAATTTTATGCTTGCGGACTGCAAAGCTTTCGCTTTCTAGGTCCGGCCTATAGGGTCAGGGGTTGTTGTCAGATGCATCGCTTTTTGTTTAACTTAAGAACTTGAACCACGGCTGACATTACAGTTGCTCTGTTGGAGTGAAGGCTCCGACTTGGAGACGGCAAAGCAACAGGCGTTCAAAGTCGTAGCTTTCAACGAAGAATGAGGCATTGTGCGCTCTTTGGGAGCTGTGTACCCAAACTTACAGTTTCGACTGCGTGAATGACGCAACATGGTTTGATTTCCCTGGCAACACGACTTTCTTGCCAAATGACAAGCTCAACCGATTATAAATTCGTGCCCAATTTCTTGTGAAGCAGGAAGTTACAGTAAATAGGGCATTTCTTATGATCTCTGTGGATTCCCGGCGGATGTTGACAGGGGTATGCATGAGGTGTCCAAATGGTAGCTTTCAACATTCGCCCTACCTTGTAGCGGAAAGTCCCAACTTCTGATTCTGGCAGCCCGACTTGCAGGATATGGACCAGCGTGGTACGTCCAGCGACACAGAGAGTCCTTCGGCATAAGAAGGTTCATGAGTAGTCATAACTGGGGTCATGAAGCATTCTGTGAGGATTAGGTATAAGGCACTTTGCTATACGTATAGGGAGTTATAGGATGATACGTGGGGTGATAACACCCCCTAAACTGGACCATAACAGCAGGTATCCTAGTTGTCAGTCCACTCATAGACATTCATGCCTAAGCCTTGTTGGAGCATAGAAAGTGTGGGTCTAAATGAATGTCTTCATGCGGAAATCTTTTGAACCCGTACTTGTACAACATGTTATTTGCACGTTTCCCAAGATCTTTCGTATGCATTGTGCCGTGTGCGACACTACTCATACTTGTATTTCGACGGCTTCTTACCCCAGTAAAGCCCCAGACTCTTTCCTGCAAAGCTTAACCCAGCAGTGCCCATGTTTGACTGTTTGTTTTTAACATGCTTAAGCGACTCTGTGTGAGCCCGCTGCTGGTCCAGACCGACCTGGGAGAGTTCGTGAATCTCTCACAAGATGTGCATCATCCTGTAAAGAGACTCCCAGAATAGAGTCCTTGTCTGTCTGCGCGCACGGCCTCCAAGGATACCCTCATTTTGAGAGCCCCAGGTCGACGGATTGACTGCACACTGCACCTTTTCCCCCTTTGCGTCAACCTCGTAAGCCGGATATACAAGCTGCAAAAAGTACCGGTGAAATTCCATTCTGTAGTTTTCTTTGATGCATGATATGATCTATGCTAACCTACGTCTACACCTCAAAAAGACCGCGAAACCTTTGACCTGAACCCTGTTCCTTCAAGATTGTTTCACGCCTCTCAGCCAAGGCTACCATAATCAGCTGAGCTCGCGTAGCATCCAGTCGTTACGCGATGACCTGAAGCCGGCCGTCGCTTGTTTCAATGCTTGCAGTCAAAGACTTCAGGTTTGAGCACTACAGTATGCGTCGAAGGGCATGGGGGTAAAGGGGGAAGTGTAAAGTGCATGGAGTAGGACGATCACCCTAGACGTACAGCTTCTCCTTTGCAAGATGGACGCCGTGCCTCCTTTTCTGTGGCGAACCGTCATAAACGAAATAGTTTGCATCCCAGGTCTGAGGTAAGGAATGAATTTCAGAACTGAACGAGACAAAGAGAATCTAGAGTGGGACTATATAGGGTCTATATAGGGATTATGTTGGGGTTATATTGGGATAATGGAAAAGAAAATGGAAACTACTGTAGTATATTGGGGATCTATTGGGATAATGGAACAGACTGAGAGAGGGACATGCTTGGACTGGGTTGGTGTGGGTGGTAGCCGAAGGAAAGACCAACGTGCTGTGTGTTCAAAGGAGTCAGCATCAATCTTTCTAAATCCTAAGAAGCTATAAATCCTAAGAAGCTATAAATCCTAAGAAGCTATAAATTCTAAGAAGCTATAAATCCTAAGAAGCTATAAAGCTTGAACCCAGTGGCCTTACCCTAAAAAGAGGTAACGAGAGCAGGCTTTATGGCTGATAGGGATTTCAGGACGGGATCTACATTCAAAGTTGATGGGCCGGCTATGTCATTAACACTGTACATAACACACTCTACATGTAACTGCCGGCTCATAAACTGGGCAAACTATAACGACCTCACCCAACCTCGCCTGAACCGTTTGGTCGAAACAGGGAAAACCACAACCTTGGCTTAATTTCAGGTTCTGAAAAACTGATAACATGGCTTGTGTAAAAGCCCACAGCCGGTTTCTCCCCCCAGTGCCCGCATATTGCATTTGAAGTAACGTCACACTCTTAATCAGGATCCTTGTACTAGTAAACCCCTTAAAAAGGCTGTCCCCACATCTGCCCGTTGCAAGGTGGCGCAGTATCCAGCTTTACAAAACCCCCAACCTGAAAACTCGAACCCCAAACCCCAAAATGAGCGTCAAACCAGAACCCACAAGCCCTAGACCTGATTCCCTTAAAAGCCTTAACTAGAGTATAGTAGTATAGTATACACCCAGATCCTTTTCAAACCCAAGAGGCCTATACTTCCTATAGACCTCTATCCAGGGTCTATTTCATGTTCCATGTTTTTATTCGATGTTTCATTTTTCCGTTCATACTTAGGAACCTGCAGTTGCCCGTCCACCCTCCCTACATCGCTCTCCATCCCCAACCCTCCCCCTGTACTCCCCAGCCACTCCCCAGATCCCTATACATCCGTAAGGAGGCCATTTCCCGTTCGTTGCTAAGCCCTAGAAACCTTAATCCTTAATCCCTGGACCGTAAACTCGAAACCTACACTCTAATCTCCAAAACCCTATTACCTCTAAAGCCCAAATCCCCAGAAACCAGTACCTAAAGCCCAAAAATATGTAAAATAATAGCCCTAAACCTTGAATAATAGCCACAAAGGCCATTGTTTTACATACTTTTGGGGTCCAGGTAAACTCTAAACTCTGATCCCTAGACCCTTTAGCTTCGTGTCGAGGAACCGGCTGCGCCTCCCAGAGGTTTGGATGTTGACTCCCTTCTTGAAGCGCTTGAGGAGGCTTCTTGCGGTTGTAGGCTTGGGGTGTGTAATGAGAGCTCTAAGGCTGTAGGAGTTTGGAGATTTTAGATGTAGAGGGGCCTAGGTAGTTAGAGGTACAGGCTTTAGGGTTTAGGGTCCCAGGGCTTTAGGCACGTTAAGGTCTACATTTTCGGCTTGAGGTGTAGTATTAGTGATGTATGGGTTTAGGTTTTGCAAATCTGGTGGTTGTACGGCTTAGGGTTGCAGGGATTCAGCATTTTCATGGTTTTGGGTGGTTTAGGGTTTAGGGTTTCATGGTTTTGGGTGATAGGCTGTTGGGGATCCAGGGCAGGAATGAAGGAGAAGGGAGATGGCACGGATGAGCTTGTGGCTACTAACGCCTTCACTGGCCTTAACCCCTGAGCCTCAACATCAATTACTAAGCGCTAAATCCTAAAACTGTGCAATATATGAGGGGTAGGCTCAGGTACTTAGTTTAAGTGAGCGCCAACGGTTTCTTACTTCAGTAAAATCTCATATCCATTAGCTGGGACAGGACTCTGCTCGGCAATTCTAACAGGGCCACTAGGATTCAAGGTATTGGGTTGAAGGTTGACATGCAAGGACTTACCTTAAGCCCTGAACCCTTTCTCGTACACTTAAAAAAATAAATCCCTGAACGCTGTTTGTACGGAAGCAGTTGTGCACAGATTCCGAGATGTGAATTTCGCATTATTGGTATTGTTCTTGGAGCACATGGAGTGTTCTTGTTCTTTGATCTTTATAAGTCTAGGTTTAGATATTGCTGATTTTGTCACTGTCGTGTCTTCAGAAGAATTCCTACAGCATCTTCCACCGGGACCCTGTACAGCTTCAACGAAGTCATACGTTGGATCCTTCAACGTACCTTGATAAACCCCACACTGTAAACTCAAACCCGCAATCTTCCTTCCCTAAGCCCCGAGCCCCATGACCTCATGTTTCCGACGCGTCAGGAAACGCTGAGCCGTAAATCTCCGTCCTTGTCCCCTGAGAGGCAGGGCGGTTTGTAGGTCTTATGTGCCCTTTCTTCGCCATCCCCGAGCTTTGTGTCAGCCCTATGTAAGGGTACCCGCTTGCTAGCTAATCAGCGGAAAAGCGCCTCCTTGTTCTGAGGCCTGAGGGTCTGGGGTTTTCATGTTTACAATCCAGGACCCCCCTCAGGGGCTCAATTTGTTTTAGGGTCTTGGCAGGCAAGTGTTTGGATGTACTGGGGGCTTCTAGGGAAAAGTGCTATTGCGACTTGGGGGTAAACCCTAAACCCTATATGCCCCAAACCCTTAACCTTAAAACCCCAGACCCCAAACCCTGAAAACCCTAGCGAAGATATTCGTCAAATGCATGGACTGTGCGCCCAGCAGTGTTCCGCTACTGTTGCGTTGCGAAACTGAAATGCCGAGTCCTCACATATTCTTGTAGTGGCGATAGCTCTTATCGGCATTGATCTGGACTCAGTCTGGTCTCCTGGGAAGAATTAAAGCAGCGTATGCCCTGAGCAGCGAATAGCCCAGCTGGCCTATCTTATGTAAACACAGCGCTGCGCTCAAGCCTTGCTTGGTAACCTACAGGTGGAAAGGTTACTGTCCGTCCTGCAGACTCATGCAAAGTGGGGGCTTCCATAGCAAACGAATGTCCCTCTGATATACCCCAATAAATCAGAGTCCTTAACGTAGGTATAACCCGGAAAAGGGCCCCTAACTTATGGAAACCCGAACATCCATCCGCTCCACAGCAAGCCGTTAATATGTGTTAGCCAAGCTTGGTCTCAGCCTCTGTCTCACTTCTCACCTTAAATCCTAGTTCTAAGAGGGCCAGGCTTAGGGCTAAGGCCTCCGAAGAACTTACCTCGCCGAGAATGTACCGAAGCCCAAATTCTGAGCCGGAAGTCATGAGCTCAAACTACTAATCTCGCTCTGGCCACGGCTTTTGCGTCATGTTCATTTTTGATATGTTCGCTGTTACAACTGGTGTAGCTAAAAGTTTCTAATTGATCTCCATAATGTTACCATGACAATGATGACCCCCCCCCAGAACTTGTTTTGCGATTTGAGCTTATTGGGCTTATGGGAGGTGGCAATAACAATAAATCACGGGGACATGGGTAGGACCGGGTAGTGCAGCTCGTAATACTAGTGGGACAAGTAGAAGGGAATCTATTAAAATCGGGGCGTTTCCGGCCGGACAATAATGTTATTGCAACCCCTTTATTGTTGCCGATGGACCTTAAGCAGACCTTGTCGGGCTCCAAACTTGTTAGANNATTGTCCGGGATTTTTCCGGCCCGGCAACAAAACGCTATTGTCACCCCCTTTATTAATGCTATGGTAGCATTAATTGATGTGAAGAATATTTTCCAGAATAAGCCGATGGTTATGAAAAGTGCCCCTATCAGCTGGAGCCAACGGCACCTAAGCTCTAACTTCCCAAGGCCGTAGGTCTTCTCTGGCCACCCTGAGCTAAACCCTAAACCCTAAACCCCAAACCCTAAACCCCAAATCCTAAACCCTAAACCTTAAACCCTAAACCCCAAACCCTAAACCCCAAACCCTAAACCCCAAACCCTAAACCTTTTTAAACCCTAAACCCCAAATCCTAAACCCTAAAACCTAGCTCATCCAGGCTGAAGAGAGGCCAAGACGTCGACAGTCTCCTGGAAGATTTGGCGGCTGCCCAAGTTTGGTTGAAGAGGTGGTGGTATGCTTCTTCATCACTGTGACAGGCATAACTGTATAACATTGTGTATCCATATCCCTACCTACCTATGACTCTGAAAGTCTTGTGTGGGTAGTGGGAGGGTACCGTTTAAGGATGGATGACTACCACTGCTTGTAGAAGCCGCTTTTTTTCCAAATATTTCCGTGCCACATACCCCAAGCCCTATTCTAATTGAACAGGCCCTTACATTAGGGTTGTATGGGGCTGAAGATTCTGGTTCGTACCGGCTCACAGACCTTGTTTTTGATGCCAGGGCTTACACACAGTGTAGGGTTTAGCGTTTAGGGTTACTTCCGAACCCCCAGGTGACTAGTATGAATGTCCTGAGCCTCGTGATGACTGTGTTTCTGGATGACGGCTTGCACCTGAAGCCAGACCATATACCTTACCCCCAGGAACCCCGAAAACTGTGGGCCAACCCCCGAAAAATGCCGCCAAAGCTTCTTTGGCCCAGGACGCTGCGCTTGTGACGTAGGCAGGGCCGTTTACGAGGTACCCCAGTAGTGCCCTTTTCCCCTGCCCATTTTGGGTTCTCCTTCTTAAAGCTGAACATCAGGAAAAAGGGTACCCTTAGTATTATTAAGGGGTTAAGCCTAAACCCCTAAACCCTACACCCCTAAACCCCTAAATCCCACACCCCCAAAACCCTACCCCTAAACCCCACACCCCTAAACCCTACCCCTAAACCCCAAACCCTCAACCCCTAAACCCCTAAACCCTTATTACTGAGGGGTCACTGGTTGGGATTCAGAGTGTTTGGAGCTTATAGAGCCAGCTCGGTGGTTGTAGCCTTAGGGGTTCGGGTTCAGGGAGACCTGCCTCCTAATGACATCCCCGCAAAGAACTGGGTTGCTGGTAAGGAACCAAATGAAGTATGGGCATGTCGTAAAAATTAGGGTTTACTTCTTATGATACTTTTTGAAAAAGTTCCTTATCAGCAACGCCAATTACACTGAACTCCGGACTGGTTTAGTTTGAAGGGGTGGAGTCTTTATGGGGCTTGTGGGGGTTGCATTCTAGTTTGCGGGAAAACGGGAAAAGGAGGCCTTGCTACGTGCTTACCGCAAGCCCCCCCTGGCTTGTTCAGTAAACTAGGATTATGAGATTGCCTCATATGGGTTTCTGGAGGTTGTAGTTGTGATGGGTTGGGAATAGAGGATGGGAGGAACTAGTCATGCAGGGATTCGAGATTTCAGGTTGCTTTGAGTTGAGCCACTGTTGTATGCGCGTCTCCCAGTTTGAAGATGTTCTTCTCACATTATGGTGCGGTTGAGGAGCCCTTCTGGAGGGCTGTTAGGCCTTCTGTGTGCAAGTGCCTCAACGTTGTGGCTTTCCGCACCGAAAGTTCAAGCTACTAAGAAGAACTTGCAAGAACCCCACAGTTGTTGGAAGACTCTTCGCAAGTGCGCTTTGATTCCGTGGGCAAGGGTGGGAGACCGGCAGTTTTTCACAGGCAGGCAAAGGCCGAAAGCCAAAAGTTCTAGTTGTAAGCCTACACAAGTCGTTTTCAGAGCCCAGTCAGGACGAGGCCTGGTGGCCGAATTTGCTGTTTGAACTTTCCCAAAAGGCTTAGTATGGTCGCAGCATCTAACAACCAGGCATGGCTTAGAATTCTATTCCAATTATCCAGGTGCACATACTTGTTCAGTTTCCAATCGTCCGCAGCCATAAGCTTGTACCCATCGTGTTTCCCAAATGCCGTTTGGTTACAAGTTTCTTTAAAGAGAGCATGCCCCTTAGACAAGTACATGTGACATCCCAATCCCAGAGTGCAGTGAGACAAGTTGCAGGCCTATTGCCTGTATGATGCAGGCTGCCATACTGAAGGCCCCTACCAATTCAACCGAAGGCGCCCGTGTACCTCTCCCCGGAGGGTCCAGGTACCCGGATGGTATATACGACATCAGTACTCACTTGGACCCCTTTTGGTTTGGGCTCTTTCATGCAGGCGGGTGAAGCCTCGCGCCTCCATTTGGTTTGACGGGTCTTGCCGTTACCGCTGCCTGAAGCCGATGCCCTGAAGCTCAGACCCTTCTATCCTTGGAATTGACTATAGGCCTTGTAAGCCCAACCTCGGAATGCCGCCCCCACTGGCAACCCTGAATACTGCATCTTAAAAACAGGCAACCCAGACCCAAAGCCCTAAAGATAAGCTGCGGCGGCTCAGAAAGGCGTAGCTGCAGAGGACAGTTGCGACTTGCTGTGCCGAGTCTCACAACGTCTGCTCCGCATGGAGAGGCTTAAGCGTAGGCTTTTAAGGGTTTAGGATTTCGGCTATTAAGGGTGCAGGCTTTTCTTCATGGTTTAGGGCTCAGGGCTTTCGCGGGTTTATAGTCTAGGCATTTCAGATTTCGGGGCTTGGGTCCTAAGCTTTTCAGAATTTTGAGCTTCGGGTTTAAGGTTTGGGGTTACGGCTTCAGTTTCAATTTCTCCTCCTTCTAGGGTTTAGGTCCTATAAGTAAAGGTAAGACATTCAGTGCCCAGGCAGTGCTCAGGGCTTCAGGCTTAAGGTAGCTAAGTTCAGATTGAGTAACTTTTCCATAGGACAGATATCGAGGTCCTGATATCATGGCGAGGTAAGATGGAAGTTCGGGCGCGGCAACTGTTTTCAAGTGTCCTTCCAATCTGCGAAGTAATGACCTATAGACCTATAGCAAGGAAGAGCAAAAGCCCGTAACAATCAGTGTAAAACCGGGACCACGTTGGCGGAGTCCCAGAGATCTCATCAGTATTCCTTATCTAGACCTGACTCTACCGCAGATGTGCAGCCTCTTTTGCGGGTGCGGCAATCGCACGCGCTGGGTGAATGTCCAGCCACTCTACCACAAGAGGCTCTTGGAATTTGAGTAGCGCCTACTAAACCAGGCAGAAGAGGGTACCGTTGTCATGCTAGGAAGACTGGCCGCATAAAGGCTTCGGAGTTGGGGCTTGGTGGCTTGGGTATGTGGTCAAAAGTCAGAAGGTTTCAGATGACTCCATGTTGGAGACTGAGGTGCTATGGTCGAAGCTGGAGGGCACAGAAAGAGGGTGTTTGGAGAGGTTGACACCCTATGAAAGGATTGAAGGCCTAATAGGGTTTAGGGCTGGGGTCTGGGCACGTTGGCTTGTAGTAGCAGCTTGTTTGATGCTCTGTCACTTCAACTCTAGCTTTGCAGGTGCAGATGCGACAGGGGTCCGCTTGGGCTGTTGCAACCCGCAGCGTGATATTTTTTGCAAAATGTTGCACGTCAAAGATCAAGGACCAGTCTTACTTGCATTCCATGGACTGTTTGGAGATGTGGAAGTGTTTTGGGACATGATGAATCATGAGGCTCGTTTGGTTGGTTCTCCAACGTTTCCCCACACCGCCCCTGGAGCGCTTCAGCAAGCACTCTGGGCTCTGGTTCGCTATGCCCCATCAACGTGTAGGTGTTAGCTCTTCCTGTTGACCTTGTAAGAAGGATGTCATTCGCAGACAATTGTAGGGATTTGCCAAATACTACCTAGAAATGATTTCAAGGGGAATCTTCGGAGCTTTCTTAGTTCTTGGAGCCTCAGATGATAACAATAGCAGCCGCCATCAAGGATGGTGGCCCAGAGCAGTTCGCACGTGAAAGTTCTCGGGGGAGCGCCGATCATCGCAGCTGGGAGGGGCTTCGTCAAGAACGCCCTGTGAACTATGGTGGGGGGTTTTCTGTCGAGGTTTCTCACTTGCTTTGGGAAAGCCGTTGTCCGTAGCCAAGCCTTGTGGGAAATAATTACGTTTCACGTAATTATGTAGATTGATTTCACACTATGCTATGACAAAAACAGTGCCCCGATTCTAGGTGGAAGGGATTGACAGCTACCTTGACTACCTTGGCTAAAGGCAAGAGAGGGGTGGAAGTTAGGAAAGAAATCAGTCCAGTTGTAACCAGATTATAAACTGTAGCCGCCCCTTCCACCAGATTACACAAGTCTTTCTACCCACAGCTGAAGTACCACGACTCCCCGCACTCTTTGGGGTAATTACTCAGCATGAAATATGGGAATTTATAGGGCCTAGGATTCGGAATTCAGCCCTACCTGAGGGAAGATCTCCTGCACAGTCACCTTTCTACAGGTGCGGCATGTGGGTGATAACCCCCAAGACTACTGGGAATCACATCGACGTAAGCATCCCAAACAAAGATGTGTTTATCTTCCAACGTCGTACGTGACTCTACAGCCTGATGCTAGCATGTTTTTGGGACCTGACTATGTCGGAGTTTCAGAATGTAATCCGCAACAGGGACATCTTTGACTCTAGTCCCCGCATATTCCTACAGTAGGAATATCACCGTGCGGAAACCTCCATATCGAGACAGCTGTTTGGGCCAGGGCTTTTGAGTTCATTTGCTCTGCATTTGCTACACTGCTGCAGACACGGAATCTACAAAGAAGCCCGGGCTGACTACTGTCCTTGTAGAAGCGGACTTTTTGGAGTCCATTTCAGTTTAGCGGATGTCTAATGATCTAATAGCATTTGAGTTGATGGCGGTCAAGGCGTCTACCCTACTCAGTGCAAATTATATTTACAATTGCCTCACCGGACTTCACTTTCATAGTGTTCAGTATATAGAAAACAATCCAACTTTAGCTTATTTTCTCAGGTTCTGCAATTATTTTGCCAATGACGTGGCTTCTTTGAGCGCCCGCCCTCCCCTGCTTTGTCGGACACGCTCAGTGGGGAGCCGGACAAGCACAAAGCACAAGCTCATTTTGCCGGCTATATTGGGGTTATATAGGGA